GTTCACATGTGTGAGATTGATTACCTCCTGCTGTCAGTCGTAGTCCAGCAGCCTCTGGAGGGATTCCTGCAGTGGATTCCTGAAGTGGCATCAGTGGCTGACAGTATATCTTGATGGCATTGCTGACAGGCAGATGATCAGCGTCATCTAGTTCCTATAAAAAGTGGAATAGAAGTTAGAGGTAAGGAGAGGTTGTTTCTTTTAAGAAGATTTTGAAACTGAAATTCTTAAAATGAGATACATGAAAATGCTAGGTCTAACTCTAGCATTGAAATAATCATTTTGAACTATTTGCAAATAATACCTTAAAATCTGCATGTTCACTCCTGGATCGGACAATACAAACACACTCACATACTGTTTTGTACATATTGTATATATTGCTTTTTTCTTGTGCTACTTGTATAATGCACTTTGGGTTGGCGTTTATTCTTGGATTCTGTGTTATTTATTTTGTGTGTATTCAATCAAAAACTATTTTAGGAGGAAAAGAAAATTAACTTTATTGGTGTAGCCTCTCCTACTTAGGTTGGGTCTTACAACTGATTCACACAAGTGGCATTTTAATGTGCGACCAGGTAATCGTGTTGCAGGAGTCATCAGTGTCCCAATCTTTAGTGGAGACAAACCACCACATACTGTGTCCTGACAATTAGGAAAACTATAGAAATTATGTTAATTATTTATACTATTAAAATATATAAACATAAAGTTCAGAAACCTGAACAGAAGACTAAAAGCAAAGCAGAAACAGAATAAAAACAAGTCGTTTTTAAGTTTGTTGTTTATAGGCCTACTGAAAAAGATTAAAAGGACAGAAGCTTTCTTCTTAGTCTGAAGAACATTTTAATAGCCTAAATAACCTTTTATTTATTTATTTTTTTTTTTTTGCAAATAAGATTCAGTGGATGTTAAAGAAGTAGTTCACTTCCAGAATAAAAGTTTCCTGATAATTTACTCATGTCATTCAAGATGTTCAAGAAATTAAGGTTTTTGAGGAAAACATTCCAGGTAGCGCACTAGCGCTCTGCATTTCAGCCTGAGCCCGACGGGGGCCACCGATTTATTTACGCCCCTATAGGGCCAGGCTTCGAGCCCATTTTCACGTCATAGCTCAGATGCGGTCTGGGCATCAGGCCTGTTTTAGGCTTCTCCTTATGTAAAAAATAATAATAATTAACCGTGTTATTTCTCGTGGCCACTAAAGTATTCTCAGTTCCCACCACTCATGAATGCATGGGCCCGTGGGAAGAGTCATGAGCATGGAGTCTCTGTCCACAAACTTCTTCAAAGTTTATTATTACATCAGTAGAATATATAGATGCAGACCAAACTCAATGAGTACCTCAACTCCCTGCTTATCTTGAACGCCACAAAGACCCATAAACATCTGCGCATGCTCTTCAGAAATCATTCAAATCAATATGTTGATTTGCTGCTCAAGAAACATTTATTATTATTATTATTATGTTGAAAACAGATTAGATCTTTTTCAGGTTTCTTTGTTGAATAGAAAGTTCAGAAGAACAGCATTTATCTGAAATATAAATATTTTGAAACATTATAAATGTCTTTATCATCACTTTATGCATCTTTGCTAAATAAAAGTAATAATTTCTATAACCCTGAAGTAATGAATAACCCTGGAGTAATGATGCTGAAAATTCAGCTTTGATCACAGAAATAAATTACATTTTAAAATATATTCCAATCAAAAGCAGTTATTTTAAAGAGTAAAAATAGTTCACAATATTATTGCTCTTGCTGTACTAAATGCAGGCTTGGTGAGCAGAAGAGAGTTCTTTAAAAAACATTACAAATCTTTCAAAAGCTTTTGACTGGTAGTGTATATTTGTATGAAATATAGGTTTGTTAAATCGGAGCCCGAAGTGTCCATCAGTTGTACCCTTCGAAATCCTTCATTCCGAAGGGCCCTTTGAAGTGGCCAGTTTTGAGCACTTCGGTTTGGAACGACCCTTCAATATGGCGGCCATGATTGTTTTCACTCCGAAGTGCCCTTCGGAGGGCAATATATCCTGTTTGGAATGCACCGCAAGTGTAGTGGTAAAGGCCAGGTACACAGAGTGACAGAGAGAGACGGGGGATACAGATTTAAACGCAAGCGCGTTGGTTAAGGTAGGAAGACACTGCATTGTTGCAGCATCGGTCCCCTCAGAGAGAGTCTTCTCAAAAACAGGACAAATAATCACAGAGAGGAGAAATCGCATCAGCACACCCAAGCTGAGGCATCTGATATTTCTGAATCCCAACCTGCACTAAAGACATGTTAAGACTTTTGCCTTTATTTATTTGATTTGTTTCCTGTGGTTCTGTGTTCAATTGTTCAATTAAAGTTTTATTAAAATGTTAAATAATAGTAACTGTATTTTTTGTAACGAAAAAATGCATAAAAATAAGGTTATTATAAAAACACTGAATAAAAAATAGCTTACCAACACACAAACCATTCACAATTCCTAAATTGGGCTAAAATAGAAGGCTCCGAGTGATACTAAATAAAGAGCCATTTGGGAGCCGTAAGAGCCAAAAGAGCTGAATCTTTGAAAAGAGCCGGTGTCCTGACATTTTATCCTACCCGTCAGATTATCCTACCAGGGTTTACTGTGCATGCGCACATCAATATTGCGTCCTTTATCTCATGCTGAACAACAACATTTAATGTATCTGCATTACTGTAAGGGTAGTTTTAGGGTTGGGGTAGGTGTAGACTTTAAATGAGTTCATGAAGTCTTCAGATAGTCTGTTGAAGTTGATTGAGATTCAGTTGCTCCTCATATGAGGTTGTAGTTGGAGGTCTTCAGCTCAGAGAAAGGGAACGAGGCTAATAACGCGTAACCCTTACCATACAGGATTTTAGAAAAGTGCACAAAGTATAACGTGCACACTTACCACTATGTGGATTTTAGAAAGTGGGCAAAGTGTTCAACGTGCACAGCACCAGGTGGATTTCAGAAAGTGCACAAAGCTTAGCGTGTGCACTTAACATAGCATAGATTTAAGAGCTTCCCAAGCATCTGTTCACAGATACCCGGAAGTATTGAGCCAAACGGGAGAGGCAAGCTCAAATACAACCCTCTAAGGCGAGGGGAGCACTGCCTGAGACAGCATTACACAAGAAAGTTCTCGCAAATCCCACCTATACTTCCCGCTGGATGCCTCAGCAAGAGGGGATATCCTGGTGTTCGGGAGACCCCTCAGGGCGACCTAGATACAGTAAACCAGACAGGGCAGCCTGAAAGCATAAGCCCAGCCCGGCCGTCCAGGAAATTTTGCAGTGCCGTGCCCGCAGACGTCCAGGACATTCCGCAGCGCCGGGCCGGGTGCCCAATAATGCGCCCGCAGAAGCCTGTGACCTGGCCGCATGATCCAGGAAGCATGAAGCCGAAACCAGGCTATCATACCGGCTGGACATCATATCGACGAGTGAAGTAAACAATGCAAGTCGAGCACCCGGTTTGTGAATCCAGCAGAGGGGGGAATAGCGGGGCAAATCGGCTGCCAGGCCACCGGGAATTGTCCCGTTTCTCCCGATGGCAAGTCTGCGCCTGATTTCCACAGACACGCAGAACGTGCAGGATTCATATATTGTCTTTTTGCGGCTTAATATTCTCAGACACTAGTCCATATCGCGTTTTGATTCAAGTGTACTGACCTACTTTTGATTTTTTTCGTCCAAAATGTTTCATATTCTGTCCACGTTAGGCTATAGGAGTTCCGTTTTTATGACTGGATTCTACGAACCAGTCTGTGTTTTCCGCATCGCGGAAATTATAGGGCCGTATGTCTCAGAGTAGTCAGTGCAATTTGGGAAAGAAATCAATTAAATCTGTATGTGGATGTGTGTAAATATTCAAATGTAATCCCCTTTGTAATCGTTAACATTTTCATAAGTAACTGTAATTTAATTACACATTTTTTCTTAGTAACTGTAACTGATTACAGTTACATTTATTTTGTAATTAAATTACGTAACGCCGTGACATGTAACTAGTTACTCCCCAACACTGTATATATATATATATATATAAAACAAAAAAAAAACATGCAAATAGGAAAAACAGCACTAAATTAAGAAAACATCATCAGTTTAACAGCAATTCAGAAACACGCTGCAAATACGCACAGAGTCCATCAGAAATGTATAAGGGAACCACAACAAGTGACAAGCCTGGCTAAACTCTTCGGTCTGAAAGGTGAGATTACAAACACCCCTTACAAAAATTAACATGATTTTACTATAAAAAAAAAGGTTATAATAGTTAAACCATGGTAATCACAAATTACATTAACCATAGTTTCACCATGGTACACAAATGGTAATCACCAAAAAAAAAAGGTAATGGTAAAATGCGAAACGCAGAAAACATAAAACTATGGTTAATTTTCGTAAGGGTTGTTGGGGTCCCCTTGAAAAATTTCCGGTGTGGTCTGTGCTACATGCAACGCTTTTCTGTATTTGGTGGTGTTGTGAGTCTTTGCGGCGCGTGTGCTATCAAATTGATGCAGATGTTTTCTTAATTTGCTGCTGCTTTTTCGATTTGCATATGTTTTCTTAAGTTGCAGCACACTGAGCTCTCTCGGCCACTGTAGAAATGACATTTTATATGATTCAAGTTGACTGTTGCATAGTAAAATTTACTTAAATTAATTTCCAGGTCATTTTTTCCTAAATAAAGGTTGAAAAAAAAAATTTAAAATCAGTTAATGTAATGAAATACTATAGGGCTGTTACCTGCCAGAGCCTCCTCAAAAACACTGAGATCAGAAAACTAATGACAGGACAAAACCAAAACCGAACAAATGTTATGAAATATGAGATAAAATAATGAATAAATAATATCATTATTTTATTTTAAAAAAGTTTTTTGACTCACTATATTTTGTCTTTCTTCACAGATTCACCCAGATCTACACTGACTGTGATACCAGACAGTCCTGTATTCACTGGAGAGAGTGTGTGATTGAGTCTCACAGTAACTGGAGATATGAGTGGTATAAAGGCACAGACAGTGTAATGTTACAGACGTCTGAGCGTTACACTGTAAACAGAGACACTCTCACTATCAGAGGACTGAATGAGTCTGATCAGGATCAGTACTGGTGTAGAGGACAGAGAGATGAAAGACCAAAATCATCACAGGAGAGTGAACGAATAAATCTGTCTGTTAATGGTGAGTAAATACTGTGATAAACATTCGCCTGTTCAACATTACCAGGCACTACAATATATGCACGGATGCATTTAAAATTAAGTAATTATCAGCTTTGGGGGGTTTCAACACACGTCCTTTTTAAGCAAACAAGGTTTATTAGAATGTGCTGGATGCATAAACATAAATGCAATCTTTCTGATTAAATTAATGTTATAACCAACAGGGGCATAGGGAGTAAAGTCAGAAGTCTTGATATAATGAGTGATTTCATGTACTTTTGTAATATTATAATACAGTATGTCCCTCATGATCAGATCAGCATGTTTATCATGTTCTCCAGTCTCAGCAGCTTCATCTTCTCTTCTGGTCACTGGTGTGGTTGTGGGATTGAGTGTTTGCCTGTTCACCTATTTTATTTATTACTTATTTTTGTTACTTTTATTTACTATGTTTTTATTTATTACTTATTTTTTTATTACTACTTGTTTTTCATTTACTATTTTAATGCTTGTTATTTTACTTATTACTTATTTGTATTAACAATTTTTTATTTATTAATTTTTATTACTTATTTTTATTTATTACTTTTTTGTTACTTTATTTATTACTTATGTTTTTCATTTAATACTTATTTGTATTACTTGTTTTTTATTCAATACTTTTTTATTTATTATGTATTTAATTATTTTTTACTTTTTTATAAAATATAAAGGAATAGAGCTGTGAAGAAAATGCTAGGTCTAATTCTAGCATGGACATAATCATTTTGAACTATTTGCAAATAATATTTTAAAATCTGCATGTTCACTCTTATTTATATGCCTAATGTGTCAAAAATGCAAAATGTTCGGAATATTCAGAATGCAAAATGTCTTGTCACATTCAGTTAGGAATGAAATAAATAATGTAAATTATATCATACTTTAATTAAAAACGGACATTAATAGAAAAGATCAGTAGTTTGCACCACTGGATATTACTGTGGGCAGTTAAACATAGGCTATCTATCGTAAAACAGTTGACTAATATTAAATGTTTTGCTACTTCCATCATGCCTCGCTCTTACAATGTTAAAACTGATACTTTGAACTGGAATTCACGCTCTACTTCTGTGAACAGTAAACCCCTCCTACTTTGATTTAATTGGTCATCTCAATTACTTTGACAGTGACGAGTGCTATTAGACCACTGACCAGCCTAAAAACGTCATTTTTAAGCCTTTTTTATCGTCCGAACAATAAACAGAGCGCTGCATAATCATGTGCAGCAGAACACTGCAAGAGCTTACAATATTTGGGGGACAATTTGACTATTTCTAACTATTGGGGGGGAATTATTGTCCCCCTCAATGTCTATAGTGATTATGGCCCTGGTACAACCCCCAAAAGGACAAAATGGAGGCGAAACACCACCAACTGTCCAAAAATAATTCCCATCCCATGCACCAAAAGCTGCCGTGAGACGAGAGAATATGTGCCACTCTCAATGTCAAGTCAAGTCACTTTTATTTGTATAGCGCTTTATACAATACTGATTGTGTCAAAGCAGCTTTACAGAGTCAAGCAGGAAAACAGATTGTCAATAATGCAAGAAGACAATAACAGAGTCATTTTCTTAGCTAAAGTCAGCTGATTGATGATTCAGTGATGTCATCATCCATTTCAGCTCTCTTCCAATAGTGTCTGTGTAATCAGTCAAGCGTCCCCAACTAAGCAACCCAAAGGCGACAGCGGCAAGGAACCAAATGGAGAAAAACCTTGGGAGAAACCAGGCTCAGTCGGGGGGCCAGTTCTCCTGTGACCAGACGAAACTAGCATGGCGTGGTTTATTTCCAGGCTGAACACAGGTGCAGAGGATGTGTCTGGTTCACGTGGTCTTGTGCCGATGGTCGTCGAGGTGATGAGGTCTTCACAGGAGAACTGTCTCTGGGGCTCATCTAGTTAACATGGTCTCCGCTGACATTCAGGGCTGTAGAGGTAGGAAGTGTTCCCGGTTCCGGTTGACCTAATTACTTTACTTTTAGTAATTTAGCAGACGCTTTTATCCAAAGCGACTTACAAATAAGAAAAAGTAATTAAAACTAAAAGCTAAAACTCTATAAATACTATATATATACACACATTTAAGAAAATAAAAGAAATTAAATAAAAATTACAAATGCATACAACAACATTTCAAAACTAAAACATTTAAATGAAAAAAAAGCTTTTAAGAAAATAAAATAAATTAAATAAAAATGACAAATGCATACAACAACATTTCAAAACTAAAACATTTAAATGAAAACAAAAAAAATAAAGCTAAAAACAATTCAAAAATATTAAAAGAACAAAAGGTATGAGTATAATAATGATTCTAACATAACACTAAGCCAAACACCAAAAAACAACTACATATGTGTATGTACAGCCACACACATATACATATACATATACATATATATAAATACTAGGGCTGCACGATAAATCGCATGCGACACTCAACTGCGTTAATTAATGCAGCTTATAACAAATGCGATAGTGTGTTATGTGTAAGCCAGGTTAAAGAGATGGGTCTTTAATCTAGATTTAAACTGACAGAGTGTGTCTGTCTCCGGAACAACACTAGGTAGATTGTTCCAGAGTTTCAGCTCTATATAGGAAAAGGATCTGCCACCCGCAGTTGATTTTGATATTCTAGGTATTATCAAATGGCCAGAGTTTTGAGAACGCAGCGGACGTGAAGGACTATACTGCGATATGAGCTCACTCAAGTATTGAGGAGATGATTGTGTCAAAGCAGCTTTACAGAGTCAAGCAGGAAAACAGATTGTCAATAATGCAAGAAGACAATAACAGAGTCATTTTCTTAGCTAAAGTCAGCTGATTGATGATTCAGTGATGTCATCATCCATTTCAGCTCTCTTCCAATAGTGTCTGTGTAATCAGTCAAGCGTCCCCAACTAAGCAACCCAAAGGCGACAGCGGCAAGGAACCAAATGGAGAAAAACCTTGGGAGAAACCAGGCTCAGTCGGGGGGCCAGTTCTCCTGTGACCAGACGAAACTAGCATGGCGTGGTTTATTTCCAGGCTGAACACAGGTGCAGAGGATGTGTCTGGTTCACGTGGTCTTGTGCCGATGGTCGTCGAGGTGATGAGGTCTTCACAGGAGAACTGTCTCTGGGGCTCATCTAGTTAACATGGTCTCCGCTGACATTCAGGGCTGTAGAGGTAGGAAGTGTTCCCGGTTCCGGTTGACCTAATTACTTTACTTTTAGTAATTTAGCAGACGCTTTTATCCAAAGCGACTTACAAATAAGAAAAAGTAATTAAAACTAAAAGCTAAAACTCTATAAATACTATATATATACACACATTTAAGAAAATAAAAGAAATTAAATAAAAATTACAAATGCATACAACAACATTTCAAAACTAAAACATTTAAATGAAAAAAATAAATAAAGCTAAAAACAATTCAAACATACACAAATAGGAAAAAGTAATTAAAACGAAAAGCTAAAAGCTTTTAAGAAAATAAAAGGTGTAAGCCAGGTTGAAGAGATGGGTCTTTAATCTAGATTTAAACTGACAGAGTGTGTCTGTCTCCGGAACAACACTAGGTAGATTGTTCCAGAGTTTCAGCTCTATATAGGAAAAGGATCTGCCACCCGCAGTTGATTTTGATATTCTAGGTATTATCAAATGGCCAGAGTTTTGAGAACGCAGCGGACGTGAAGGACTATACTGCGATATGAGCTCACTCAAGTATTGAGGAGATAAACCATTCAGAGCTTTATAAGTAATTATCTACAGCCACACACATATACATATACATATACATATATATAAATACTAGGGCTGCACGATAAATCGCATGCGACACTCAACTGCGTTAATTAATGCAGCTTATAACAAATGCGATAGTGTGTTATGTGTAAGCCAGGTTAAAGAGATGGGTCTTTAATCTAGATTTAAACTGACAGAGTGTGTCTGTCTCCGGAACAACACTAGATTAACGTTTCTGCATTTGACATTGAGAGCATAGGTCATAATTTAAATATATTTTTAAGATGGAAAAATTTGTTTTTACAAATGCTAGAAACATGGTTTTCAAAGGAAGGATTGCTATTAAATAGCACACCTAGGTTCCTAACTGATGACGAAGAATTAACAGAGCAGCCATCAAGTGTTAGACAGTGTTTTAGGTTATTACATGCGGAGGTTTTTGGTACAGTAATTAAAACCTCTGTTTTTCCAGAATTTAGCAGCAGGAAATTACTAGTCATCCAGCTTTTTTATATCAACTATGCATTCCATTAGTTTTGTGAATTTGTATGTTTCATCAGGCCGTGAAGAAATATAGAGCTGAGTATCATCAGCATGAGAGTGAAAGCTAACTAGTGTTAATTTTGTCAGCTGTTTTTCATTTAGTCTTAGGCTTAGTCCTGTGTCAAATGTAACTTTTAGGTTTTATCACATTTAGTCAACTTGTCCTGTTTTAGTTTTAGTCTACTAAATGTCTGAGCATTTTAGTCTAGTTTTTGTCAGTAGAAACTTACACATTTTCGTCATGTTTTCGTCTTACTGTATAATAGTAAAATGACAAAAAAAATATATAATTTTGCTCAATTTTAATTGCAATAATTGTTGTAATTTGGGAAATGTATTTTTACATTTCATCAGAAGTTGCTCTTTCACCAATAAGCACAAATCAATAGAATATTGACTCGTATACATGGTTTATTTTATCTCATCTAGTGTACAGATTTATAACGGGATATCAATTACAGGCTAAATAAACACCCAAGACAGATATACACTCGCCCTGTCTACATTATGAAAACTGGTGTTACAAAAACCTACTCTCAAATATTATAACAGAGAAATTCTTAATAGTAATTACAATAATTCCAAACTGCATTAATGTTTCTCTTTTAAAACAATGGCAAAAAAGGCTTATTGCCGCACAGAGGTTGCGTAAGTAACGTTACAATCAGCAAACAATACAGTCGTTCCATGACAGAACACAGACCGGCT